AACATTAACTGTATAAGTCATCCACTTGTTCGCATTACCCACAATTATGGTCTTTAACAAAATTATGCTGTTACCTTGCTGGTTTATTTCAAGTTGTGGTGAATTTTCAATGATGTTTGTGTTTGAATTGTTTCTCTGTGCACATTGTGAGCTTGCCGTGCTGTTCTCATGCCTGAAGGTTCCCTGTTTCATATTGTGTCGTCTCTCATTTATACAACACCATCATCACTGATTTAATTAGGTCATTATCAGCCCTGTGTTTCACACATCTTCAATCTTATTTTGATTTGTGCTTCCATTTGCACAATAAATACAAAATAGTGGTTGAGCTGTAATTCACTTAAAAGACAACTACACATATCAGGCACATCAAATGAGCTTAGCGCTATCGTACTGAAACTGCATACAGTTGAAAACCAAATGTACAACGTTGAGATGCAAAATAGCTCTCGACACCGTTATCCTATACCAAAGCTGCATGTTTAGACTTAACACAATGCAGACTTTCTCAGGACACAATGTTATCATTGATTCACACACAAATGACTTTTCCTTCTGGAAACATAAAATGCTGGAGATCACAGCCGGCCAGGCAGCATCCATGGTTGTGATCTCCAGCATTTTTTGTAGAGATTCCAGCATCTGCAATAACTTGCTCCTGACTTTTCCCTTCGTCGTTTCCTAAATTCTTTACTCCTCTGCTATAATGCAGTGCTATCATTCACATCTTTGCCTAAACCAGACTTGCTCTCCATCTTTCAGTGTCCCTTCCACCCTCACCACCCCCCTCTGCCACCAACACTCTCTGCTGTCCGCTGCTAGAAATGTTGCAAAGAGAAGAAATGAAGTTTATTTCTAAAACTCACGCTGTGACGATATCTTTACCTCACTCTGGACCCTGCCCCCACTCCCAATCAGAACTTGAGTCCATTTTCAATCAGAATCAGGTACGTTGTAACTTAGGTGTGAACTTTTTGAAATGTACACGTGTCCCTGGTGAAGGTTAGAGGGAATTATACCAGAACCTGCAAGGCCCTGTAACCTGATTTCCGAAGAAGAGTCCCGACCCGAAACGACAGCTTTCCTGTTCCTCTGATGCTGACTGGCCACAGCTCCACACTGTGTTATCTTAGACTCCAGCATCGCCAGTACTTACTATCTCCCTCTATCCCTGTAACTATCCACTTTTCTTACCACATATATATGCTTCCCTCTCTCAGACAACTGCATGATACTCCATTGATCTACAATGTATTATTGCTTCTAGCTATGAGCCTATATCTCTATTTCCACTCTTCGTAAATTTCTACATGCATTGGCAACACAGGAGGCAATTACAAATCCAACATCACTCATTCTCAACTTTGCCAGTACCAGCTCAGGAATTTGCTCACAGGAGCTTTGAATGGTGATTTACAAGGGTCAGCACTAAGCAATGTTTCAATACTGTTGCAATATGATGGTTATGTAGCTTGGGAGGGAGGCAAGGAGACAGGACTTTATAGATCAGTTAGCCTGACCTCAGTCGTTGGTAAGAATCTAGAGTCTCGAGTAGTTGAAAGTGTATGGTAAAGTAGAGCTGAGACAGCACGACTTCCTTAAAAGGAACTGACTAATCTGTGAGAATTCTTTGAGGAGGTAACAAGCGTGTTAGAAAAAGGAGAAGCTGCGGACATGATCGATTTGGATTTCTAGAAGGTCTTTGACAAGGTGCCACACAGGAGGCTGCTAAGTAAGATAACAGCTCATGGTGGAGATAAAGAGTGGATGTGGAGACGATGTTTTCACTAGTGGGAGAGACTAGGACACAGGGCACAGCCCCGGAGTGAAGGGATGACCCTTTAGAACTGAGGTGAGGAGGAATGTCTTCAGCCAGAGGGTGGTGAATCTATGGGTCTCATTGCTGCAGAGGGCTATGGAGGCCAAGTCATTGAGTGTATTTAAGACTGAGGTGGATAGGTTCTTGATTGGTAAGGGGATCAAGGGTTATGGGGACAAGGCAGGAGAATGGGCTTGTGAAATACATCAACCATGATTAAATGGCAATGGGCTGGATGGCCTAATTCTGCTCCTATATCTTGTGGTCTTATGACACCTTCAAACTTAAGGGGATAGCTTAACTTGCTGTCAATCCCAGCCACCTCAGCAGGTTGAATCCTGGAATTATTGAAGATACTTTTCACTGGCATCCTTACCTGGTTTGGTCTACATGTGACTCCAGGCCCACAGCAACGTGGCTGACTCTTAACTGCCCTCTGGGCAATGAGGGAAGGGCAATAAATGCTGGCCTGGCTAGTGATTTCCATGAATATAACAAAAAGTCAAAATAGAAACAAGAAATGATGTTTAACCATGGTCTGATGATATGATGTGAGCACCAGGGTAGTGCCCTGGATATATCAATCTAAAATGATGGGAATTAAATTCCAAACCCTAGATAGGCATGTGTAATTCAGACCTAATCTTCAATTTCTTAGTGCTTACATTACGGAGATAAAATGGGCTGTCCCATATTGAAATTTTCCACCAATAAATTAGCATGAGTTTTAATAATTCATGGGACCTGGGCGTCGCTGGCTGGCCAGCATTTATTGCCCATCCCTATTTCACCCTCAGGTGACTGTCTGTGTGGAGTTTGTATGTTCTCCCTGTGTCTATGTGGGTTTGCTCTGGTTTCCTCCCACAGTTCAAAGATGTGCAGGTTAGGGTGGATTGGCTATGCTTAATTGCCCCATAATGTCCAGGCTAGGTGGGTCATTCATGGGAAATGTGGGGTTACAGAGTAGGCTTCTCTTTGGAGGATCAGTGTGGATTTGATGGGCCAGAATAGCCAGCTTTCACTCTGTCAGGATTCTATGACTCAGATTTTCAAATGTCAATTGGGAAGAGAACAGGGAACCCACTTGCTACCTAAAGGAGTTTGTCCAGTTGGGAATGAGGAATTTTAATGTTTATTATGTTGGGCTGTATAGCGCATGTTGCAATCAGGTTCAATGCAGGGACTTCATGGAATCCCTACAGTGCAGAGAGAGGCCATTTGGCCCATTAAATCTGCACTGACCCTCCAAAGAGCATCCCCATAACCCCAATTTACCAGAGTCAACCCACCTGGCCTGCACAGTATGGCACAACTTAGCATGGCCAATCCGCCCAACCTGCACATCTTTGTTCTGAGGAAGGGTCACCGGACCCAAAACATTAACTCTGTTTTTTCCCTTCACACACAGATGCTGCCAGACCTGCTGACCTTTTCCAGCAGCTTTGTTTTTGTTCCTGCACATCTTTGGACTGTGGGAGGAAACCAGAGCAAGCCCACACAGACACAGGGAGAATATCCTCACGGAATGTCACCCGAGGGTGGAATCGAACCCGTGCCCCTGGTGCTGTGAGGCAGCAGTGCTAACCACTGAGCCACAGTGCTGCCTAACTCAGAAAGCTTGAGTGAATTTGTGGAAAGTTGAAGTCTCCTGGGCTACCTAGCACTGTGTTTGTCTGAACACTATCCACTGTCTTCAGGCTCCTGGCCCACTCTATCCAGTGCCGCTGCCTCTCTGGGCTGCTGGTGTCAGACAGGCAGTTCCTGCCTCCTGGAACTACTTGCTGCCACTTAATCTGACATTGAGCTTGTCTCCTACGCAATTAGGGCTTTTATATTAAACGTAGTGTCATGAGAAGGTTAGAGCCAGGACTCCACCATTCCAAAACCCTGAGTCAATCCTTGGGACTGCAGGGTGTGTATGACCCTAACCCTGGAACAGCCTGCAGTCCCCAGTTTTGTAATAACTGGCAATCATTTTCCTCATTCATGTTGTACAACAGTAGATTTTATTCAGCTGGACGAACAGAGAAGTAACTTTAGCAAGCACATTTGCCCACATTTACTGAATGAACAGTAGTTCTCGACGGCAAAGCAATAAACACTGTGGCGAGTACTGTTGCAGTTACTTCTTAACATTATGTTATGAATGATGGAAGGTGTGGCATTAATTGTCACTTCGATTGGCAAGTGTGTGTGTTTGAAGAACACAGAATACAAAAGGAAATCACCTTGTGACCCAATTTTGCACGTTTCCTCAAATAAAAGCAAAATGCTGTAGATGCTGGAGTGTGAAACACCGTACAAAGTGCTGGAGGAACTCAGCAGGTCTGTGGAGAGAAAGCAGGCTTAACATTTCAGGTCCAGTGACTCTTCTTCGGAACTGAAGTTTGGACGGGGTGGGGGATAAGGTTGTTGTCAACAGCATAAAAAAATCATCATTTTCCAGCCCCTTTCCATTCTGAAAAAGTGATTGGACTCAAAATGTGATGTTTCTCTCATCTTGGCAGCTGCCAAACCTTCTGAGTTTCTCCAGCACTTCCTGTTCATTTTCCATCTCCTTGTTCGTTCACCATTGTTGAATGATATTTAGAGTGACCGTTGTGATTAGCTTTGGTATTTGGAGGTCTCCTTACCCCAGAATTCTCAATGGAAAATGCATTAAAAAAAAAATTGGTACATTTAGGAATAAAGCTAAGTTTTTCACAATCTGTTTCCATCTCAAATACACACATGTATCAGGGATTTTCTGAGCCCAGGACTCATTATTCTGTTTCTTTTAAAATCCACTTAATTTGCTTTTCTTTGCCGTAGCTCATTAGTTAAGAGGATTCTTCTGTGAGCCTTGAAATGACAATACAATAAAGTCAGCTTTAGATACGTATGTGAAATTGTTGCAGAATAACCAAAAGAAGTAGAAGTTCATGTGTAACAGGAGTGTGGACCTGGAGATATGTAAGGAAATGTTGTCTCCACAAAGTATTAAATACCTGAAAATGACTGAACATGTCAGCTACCTCTGTTTTATTTGGGTGGGGGCAACTGTCCTATGAGGAGGCATCACGGTACTTGGTACAGCTGTTGGGCACATTGTATAAACGTATGAGTTATACAACGCAGGGAGAGACTGATTAATGCTGTTGTATGGTGCTCATTACTAGAACTGGGCGAGAGAGCTGCTGCTCAGAATATGTCGGCGTGCAATCTACAAGGAATCCCAAGGGATAGTGTGGAAAGGGGTGGGGGGGGTGACTGGGAAGGATCCAGTCTTTCTGACAGTCCCAGCTATTATCAAATAGCAGGGTGGGAGAAAGTGCTGATGCACTACACATGCTCAGTCTGCTGCTTGCTGTCTCATGCAGCTGCTGGTTGCAGTCTGCTCTGATCGTGTCTCGCTATCATGCTACCTTGCCCCTCCACCCCAGCTATCAGTGAGGAACAGGAGGAGGGAGAACAGAATGAAACTGGGAAAATGAAAGTGGAGGTAGGTTGAAATGAAATGTTGCAGCCTGGCTCCAACAATGGGATTATATACTGCTTGATATCTTGAAGACCTCAGCCTACAATTATATAAAAATATTCTTCTAGTGTAATAATTACTGCATGCAGTAATACTTCAGTAAAATGATAGTATCTGATTACTGACAGGTTAAACATAGAATATTTTAATATTTATTGTTCGACCTGGTCTTTACATTACACCTTGACAATGAGAGGCAGTTTATCTTATACCCTTTCAGCTAATGTTGCATGAATGGCTATAATTGTAAGCTTTTGTAAGCAGAATGCATGTTGGAAATCACAAATTATTTGACAAATGTTAATATTTTGAAGTATTGAAGTGTTCTTGCAGCTCAGTAATAAGGACAGATTAAGTTACCTCGGAAGGTTGATTAGGTGTGTAACCAGGGAGTTGGCTATCTGCCTGGCTTGTGGCTAGTCTCTCTCTCTCTTTGGCAAGTGTTGGACACAACACTTGCCACAGGACAGACTGGCTGCTTTAAAGACACTCACTGCCAACAGCCCAGGACATGTAATATACAGGTTCTGCACCATTTGAGGGTGGGGTAGCTTGGAAAGGATATGTGCGGAAGGACATGAATAGAGAAGGGGTGGGAGCTAAACAGATTTATCATTCAGGAACAAAAAAAACAGACACTGGACCTATTAGTAAATCCTGAATAGACAGAAATATTTTCATGAAATAATGCAAAATAAGTGATCCGAATAAAATAATTTATTTGGGAAAAAAAAGACAGGGGTTCCTTTATTGTTGTGTTCTGTGTTCTTGTAATAGGAGGAGACTGATGGCATAATGAGCAGACACACAGTGAAAATCTGTTGAATGATTATTTGAAGAATATGTTTTTACCTGTGGAGGAAAAGGAAGGAAAATGCATTCTCTGTCCACACAAATTAAAAGGAGCGTTGAGGCTTCACTTCACCCTCAGCATCAATGCACCAAATGCATTCTATAGATTATGTTTTATTTTGTCATTAAGAGGTATCCTTTTTCCAAGTTCATGGTCACAGCCTTACAGGTTACAATACAAAGGAAGCTGCTTGGGTAGCTGGAGGCTGGCGAACCAATGTCGTGGAACTGTCATCCACATGCTGCTGTCTATTCGTTGCAAACATTTGTTAATCAGGCTATGGGATGCTGTACTGAAACAACAATTAATACTTTGATCTTTTTAATGTTTCAAATTCACGTAAAGACACGAACGCACAACTTGGAATCTTGACTTATCATAACTGGTCCACACTCCTTACTTTTGAGTTTTCAAGTTACTACGTAGAATTTGCGGATTCACCCCAGAAGGTTTTGACCTGTGTTTCCATAGAATCCATCCACCGTGGAAGCAGGCCATTCACCCCATCAAGTCCACAACAACCCTCTCAAGACCATCTCACCCAGATCCAATCCCCTACCCTGTAACCTTGCATTTCCCCATGGCTAACCCAGCTATCTGCACATCCTCCACACAGACAGTCACCTGAGGCTGGAATCAAACCTGGGTCCCTGGCGCTGCAAAAAGCAATGCTGACCACTGAGCCACCGTGCCACTGCTACCTCACAGTGCAGGGGATCCAGGTTTGATTCAAGCCTTGAGCGACCGTCTGTGTGGAGTTTGCACCGGGTGCTCCAGTTTCCTCCCACAGTCCAAAGATGTGCAGGTGAGGGTGGATTGGCCATGCTAAATCTCCCATAGCATCCAGGGATGTGCAGGCTAGGTGGATCAGCCATGGGAAATGCAGGGTTGCAGGGAAAGGTTTGGGTCTGGGTGGCATCTTCTTCGGAGAATCAATGGGCTGAATGGCCTGCTTCCACTGTAGGGATTCTATAATTCTATGCTAACCACTGCTGAGTAGTTACGTACCTCCTGAGCCTCTTTCCATCCTCTATATCATCTAACCATCTCAGCACATCCTTCAATTCCTTTCTCGTTCACATACCTAGCTAGTTTCCCCTTTCTATGCTTCAATGACTCTGTGTGGTAGCGTGTTGCACATTACCTGGATATAGAAGTTTTGTTTTAAAAGCGACTGTAGTATGTGCATGAATTAAAGTTATGGATTCCCCAGCAACTAAAATAGTTTCTCTACGTCCCTTGCTTAACCTTACAGCTCTTCTCTTTTCCAGTGAAAAGAACCACAGCCTGTTCAGTTTCTGTTGGTTACAATCTCTCAGTTCTGGAACTTCCTTCATAACTATTTTATTTTGGGAACTTTTCCAGTGCCTCTATATATATTCCGTAACATCAATGTCATAACTGAGCATAGCGTATCCATCAATCCTTGTGATGTTGTTCTTTTGAGTGAGATTTCCTGAAATTTCATTCCAGTCGAAATGTCTGTTGTGGAATTTAGTTGCTGTAGATTAGACCTAACTTCTGCCCTGCTTTACCTAGATCTGCTTTTCATCAGATTTAATTGATTAGCCATCAAGTTTGCTCGGGTCCTGGCTTCCAATATGCAAACTGTTAACTTGGATAGATTTAGATAGAAATTAGATAGATGAGCAACTTTGACAGGGTAGGATGTTCTAAGTCTGACCTTTCACAATAAGGTCTCAACCTCCCTCTCTGGCAGTAGTAAATTGAGTCTGAGGCAGCCTTAACCGAGGTCACTAGTGGACATAACCTTACAGCACACATCCAGCCAGAGCAAGCAATTACCGAGAGGAACATCAATGCATGAATCCTAACTATGCTCATCTGACATTCCTCTGCTATTTTAATGGCAGCATGAACCATGAAAGAATTAGTGTCTCTGCTAAACTAATAACAAAGGAAAATGGTCATTTTAATGATCCTGTTAATGAGGCCAATAAAGGAATTTCTGGACTGATGTAATTTATTCTCAGTTCCTTACGTAACAACTTAATTCGGAAGAGTGTATTGATAATCATGCCCCACTGTTCTACAAAACATATAAACGTATAAAATCCCAATCTCACCACCAAAATAATGAAGTTGCCAGACTGACTGGTGTTCAGGACAAAAGTAATTTTGACCAGGTTTTGTTAGTAGCAGATAATAACTATTTATTGCAATGTGCTTCACTTTATCAAATGCAGAGAAAGAAAATAATTTCTAATCTACTACTCTGCACCTTAAACTATACCCCTTCAAAACACTCAAATACTTGCACACTTGATTACAATTAAGGCAGAAAGAAGACAAACAGGTTAAAACATATACTATGAAAGGAAAAAGAATACAGATAGGATAAACAAAATTCTGAAGGTTAAAAATACAGAACATAAAGTGGAACGTTATTTTCTCACAGTCAGTTTGATATTCACAATGATGACATGCTATTGTCTATAGTTTGACCATTGTTCTTCAATGGTTGATCAGCTAGACCTAGGTCTTCTCTTCTTTCAGAATTTGTTTGTTTAAGCCTTTTTAGTTTTCTGTCTTTTTCTTGCATGGATGGGGAGAGATAGAAAGTGAGTGCATGAAATTCTTACTAACCTGTTGATTTTTTTGATTGCTGTTTTCAATTTCTTAATCCACCAAGGACACACACAAATCATTTTTTTTTAGAATTGGCGTGTTAGCCTTTTTCCCCTCTGTGCCTCTTTATATCTCTGTATATCTTAAAAAGATAGATAGGTAGTGAATGCCTTCTTCCTCCTTTTCTGCCAGGGATGCTCTATAAGCAGTCAGGACCATATTTACATGCATATGTCATAGGCTTAAGGTGAGAGGGGAAAGATTTAAAAGGGACCTAAGGGGCAACTTTTTCACACAGAAGGTGGTGTGCGTATGGAATGAGCTGCCAGAGGAGGTGGTGGCGGCTGGTACAATTACAACATTTAGAACATAAGAACATAAGAACTAGGAGCAGGAGTAGGCCATCTGGCCCTTCGAGCCTGTTCCGCCATTCAATAAGATCATGGCTGATCTTTTCGTGGACTCAGATCCACTTACCCGCATTCTCACCGAATCCCTTAATTCCTTTATTGTTCAAAAAAAATCTACCTTTTTTTTAAAAACGTTTGCTGAAGTAAAAGCATCTGGATGGGTATATGAATAGGAAGGGTTTAGAGGGATATGGGCCAAATGCTGGCAAATGAGACTGGATTAATTTAGGATATCTGGTCGGCATGGATGAGTTGGACCGAAGGGTCTGTTCCTGTGCTCTACAACTCTATGATTCTAAGAGAGAGAGAGAGAGAGAGAAAATTGTATGTGTTCTGCCTACAGGTTCTGGAAGTTTCTCTTTGCTGTCCCTGATACTTATAACTTTTTAATACTCTGTGCTCAACCAATCAGAGAACAGTTGTCTATCAAGATTTCCATAACTTAAGACTCTCACTCAGTTTGAATTCCCATCTCAGAGTTTCAGGAAGCATAGATCAAGAATAATCAGCACTTAAATTTCAAGTTGCAAATTTCTCCTGATATTTCAATGTTATCAGATTAATTTCAATTTCAATTTGTAGTTCTAGAGAAGAAATTCTGTTCTCTTACATTTATTATTCATTGCCATCTTTCAACAAAGGTAACTTCCTGATGCCAACTTCTCACAAATGCACTCAACTGAGATGAGGTGTAGTTTAGTCTAGGTTGCATACTTAACAACACCCCAGTCAGAAAGTACAGAAAGGATCTTCCTAAAGGCTTTATGAGAGATATCCGTGAGCTCCCGGTACATGACAGGCATTCGTTTTGGGAAATTTCCAATTCCCAGACACAGTTTAAACTGAATTGTCAAAAATCATAAACTGGGCAGGCACAAGTTTTCCTGCGTCTACTCTCACTGTTCACCAGGAGCACAAAAATGGAAAATCACCCCTACAAAGATTATCAGTCAATAAAATGGACAGAATTGATCATGGCCCCTTCAAAACAAAATACAAGTCCAAGTTTTCTTCCTTTTGTGCAATTTAGGGTAAGTGATGGCCTGGTGGTTTTATCTCTGAACTATTAATCCTGAAACTGAAGTAACATTTTGGGGACCTGAGTTTGAATCCCACCATGTCAAGTGGTGGAATTAGAATTTAATAAAAATCTGGAATTAAGAGACTAATGAAGGCCATGAAATTGTTGATTGTCAGGTTCACTAATGCCCTTTAGGGAAGGAAACTGCCATCCTTACCTGGTCTGGCCTACGTGTGACTCCAGACCCACAGCAATGTGGTTGACCCTTAACTGCCCTCTGGGGGGCAATTAGGGATGGGCAATAAATACTGGCCTAGCCAGCAACACCAATATTGTCTGAATGAAGAAGAAATGTTAACTCTTTTGCTGTTGGCAAGTTTTAGCGCAGCTTCATGTGCAACTTTAGACAGATACGAAGGACCCAACCATAATGAGAGCATAAAGGTATAAATGAGTGAAAGTTTAAGGAAAGCATCAGAACACAGGGATGAAAATTCCCAAAGTTTTTAGAAAAATCCTAAAAGGTACCTCACCACATCATGAAGCATATGGTAGAGGAGAAAGAAATGATGTATATAAAGGAAGAGAATCTAACCCAGGGTATAGGTATGAGCTTGAAGACAGCTGTTAGAATAGCCCAATAGTAAAAGCCCTAATTCAAATAGAGGTTTTCAGGCTCTGTCTGAGATAAATGCTTCCAGCAGTGTTCACTGTCTTTGCATCAAAAACCTGGAACTCCCTCTCTAACTTACAGCATACAGGGTGCTGCGATACGAGAATGTGATTTACCACAGCTGCCTTAGGGGCAGTTAGAGCTGGGCCATAAATGCTGGCCTTTCCAGGGATGCTCATATTCCATGAAGAAATAAACTAAAATCTCTTTTATACAATTGTCTGTATTACTCAACCCAGCCAGCAACAAATATAGCAAGCACTTCTGTATTGACTTTATGGCACTAGATTACATAACTCAGTTCCAACTCTCTCTTGTATCTTTAACCACCGCCATTTAGCAACTTTCCCTCTGTCTACAGCATCTCCAATGGCTGGTCACAAAATATTGCGACTTTGAAGACAGATTACATTGCCTGAGCAATAACTGAGGGGTGGCACGGTGGCTCAGTGGTGAGCACTGCTGCCTCAGAGGACCAGGAACCTGGGTTCGATTCCATCCTTGGGTGGCTGTCTGTGTGGAGTTTGCATATTCTCCCCATCTCTGGGTGCTCTGAGTTCCTCCAACAGTCCAAAGATGTGTAGGTTATGGTGGATTGGCCATGCTGTAATGCCTGGGGATGTGCAGCCTGGATAGATTAGCCATGGGAAATGCAAGATTATGGGGTGGGGGTGTGGGATGCTGTTCAGAGGGCTAGTGTAGACTCAATGGGCCAAATAGCTTGCTTCCACACTGTAGAGATTCTATTTTTCACTAAATAGACATCATTTCAGGATACTTCCTTTGAAAGCATTCTGTCAGATCTTCACAAGAGATCCACACAGCATAAGCCCCAAAATGAACTTCATTTTATTTGATTCAAGTTTAACCAGCATGATCTTTCAAACAGGGTATTGAATTTTTTTTTGATATGCTCTGCTATAGAAATTTATCTCTGAACATAGCTCTATTTCTATAAACTAAAACATCTGCTCCTCCCACCTCACTGACCAATCACCACCACTGCCTACCTGCACTCATTATCACCACCCCACCTACCTTCCCCAGCCCCACCCCTCCTCTGTCTATTTATTTCCAAGCTCCCTTCCCCCTCCCCATTTCTGAAGAAGGGTCCCAACCTGAAACATTAACTTTCCTGCTTCTCTGATGCTGCCTGGCCTGCTGTGTTCCTTCAGCTCCGCACTGTGTTATCTCTGACTCCAGCATCGGCAGTTCTTACTATCTCACATTATCTATAATGACTGTCACTCCTGGAAGACCCTGAAGAGTTTTAAGCATTTATCTTTGCCAATTTTTAAAATCCAAACCTTTCAGAGTATTGAAGGTCATCAATGGACATGTTAATTTATTCTTCTTCATTTGTCTGAACCATGTTCGATATTCAGTAAAGAAAAACATGGCAATACATTTAGCTGTTGGTGGTGGACAGTAAAACTTCCTCATTGCTCATTTGAAATCCTTAGGATGAGCCCAGCTTGTTCAGCTTTACAATGATCACCATCCTGATCCTGTCCTTGGGGTATTCTGGCTACAGTGGCCTCATGGTTGTGGTATGTTGATGTCACGTTCAATCCCGAGACGGTTCCCAGCCCCGTAATCCTGCCAACATTAAGACCACCTTGTCGACACCACGCCTGTGTCAGTTCGTCTTGTGCTGAAAGCCTCACTTATGCCTTTGTTACCTCTCGTCTCAGCAGTTCCAACCCACTCTCGGCTACGTACGCACCTTGTGGCCTGTGTAAATTTGGGGTCATCCAAAACAGTACAGCCCGTGTCTTCACTAAGTGCTTACCACCCCCAAACAGACCTCCCAGCGTTTAATATTCCCATTCTTATTTCTAAATCCTTCCACAGTTTTAAGAATATAGAACATAGAGCAGTACAGCACAGTACAGGCCGTTCGGCCATGATGTTGTGCCAAACTTTTACCCTAAACCTAAGGTCTATCTAACCTCCACCCCTACCTTATACTATCGTCCATATGCCTATCTAATAGCTGCTTAAATGTCCCTAATGAGGCCGATTCCACTACCCTCTCTGGCAATGCATTCCATGCCCCAACCACTCTTTGAGTAAAGAACCTACCTCTGACGTCTCCCCTATATCTACCTCCACTCACTTTAAAACTATGCCCCCTCGTAATAGCTACCTCCACCCTCGGAAATAGTCTCTGGCTGTCCACTCTATCTATATCTCTGATCATTTTGTACACCTCTATCATCCTTCGTCATTCTAAAGAGAAAAGCCCTAGCTCTCTCAACCTTTCCTCGAAAGACCATCCCTCCATTCCAGGCAACATCCTGGTAAATCTCCTCTACACCTTTTCCAATGCTTCCGTATCTTTCTTGTAATGAGGTGACCAGAAATGGACGCAATACTCCAGATATGGTTGAACCAGGCTTTTGTATAGCTGGAGCATAACTTCATGGCTCTTGAAGTCAATCCCTCTATTAATGAAAGCTAACACACCATACGCCTTCTTAACAACTCTATCCACCTGGGTGGCAACTTTCAGGGAACTGTGGACATGATCCCCAAGATCCCTCTGCTCCTCCACACTGCCAAGAATCTTTCCGTTATTCTGTACTCTGCTTTCCCTGTATTCTGCTTTCAAATTTGTCCTTCCAAAATGAATCACCTCACACTTTTCAGGGTTAAACTCCATCTGCCACTTCTCAGCCCAGCTCTGCATCCTGTCCCTTTGTAACCTAGAACAGTCTTCTGCACTATCCACAACTCGATCCACCTTCGTATCGTCCGCGAACTTACTAATCCACCCTTCCACTTCTACATCAAAGAACATAGAACTTGATCCTCCACCTCTCTGTAATCTCCTCCAACTCCACAACCTTCTGAGATCATTGTGTTTCTCAAATTCTGACTTCCCTATTTATAAGTGCTCCACCAATAATGGCTGCACCTTCAGGTCCATGCTCTGGAATTCCCTTCCTAAACCTCACCAGCTTTCTAACTCTCCTCCTCCTTTAAGACACAACGTTAAAACGTATCTCCTTGACTAAGCTTTTGGTTATCTCACCTAAACTATACATAGATGTTTCAGTTTCTGGGGGTTGGGGGGCAGGGAGAGGAGTTGGTAGTGTTGGAGGTGGTAAAAGCGAAGTACAGTAGCTGCTCGAGATCTGAAACAAACACGGAGAATGCTGAAGAAACTCAGCTGTTCTGGCAGCATCTGTAGATAGAGATTATGAGGGATTTTGTCAGAGTAGACCAATGGGAAATTGTTCCCACTGGCAAGATGGTTAGCAATCAGAGGAAAAAGATTTTAAATAATTGGCAAAGGGTACAAAGAAACTCTTTGCGTAGAAACTGAATGGTCAGCACCATGTTGCCTCCAATGGCGTCTAACTAGTTACAATAGCAGTTGTCAAAAGAAAAAGGATATATATTTGGAAAGGAAAGGAAAATGGCATGGCCATGGAGAAAGATCAAGGGAGTGGAATAAATTAAAGCTCTTTTGAGGAGTTGGTGCAGGCCTTTTGTGTCTCCTGTCCTACAATTCTCTCCGACCGAAGGTTGCAGGAACAGCACCTCATATTTCACTTGGGAACCCTGCAGCCCAATGGTATCAATGTGGACTTCACAAGCTTCAAAATCTCCCCTCCCCCGACTGCATCCCAAAACCCGCCCAGCTTGTCCCTGCCTCCCTAACCTGTCCTCCCACCTATCCCCTCCTCCCACCTCAAGCCCCACCCACATCTCCCACCTACTAGCCTCATCCCGCCTCCTTGACCTGTCCGTCCTCCCCGGACTGACCTATCCCTTCCCTCACTCCCCACCTACTCTCACCTTTACTGGCTCCATCCCCACCTCTTTGACCTGTCTCAGAGATAGTAGGAACTGCAGATGCTGGAGAATCTGAGCTAACAAGGTGTAGCGCTGCTTCTTCAGAAGAAGGGTCTAGGCCCGAAATGTCAGCCTTCCTGCTCCTCTGATGCTGCTTGGCCTGCTGTGTTCATCCAGCTCTGCACCTTGTTATTTTGACCTGTCTGTCTCCTCTCCACCTATCTGCTCCTTTATCCATCTTCCATCTGCATCCCTCTCTCTGTCTCTTTATTTCAGAATCCCAATCCCCTTCCACTCCCCCATTTCTGAAGAAGGGTCTAGACCCAAAGCGTCAGCTTTCCTGCTCCTCTGATGCTGCTTGGCCTGCTGTTTTCATCCAGCTCTGCACCTTGTTATCTCAGATTCTCCAGCATCTGCAGTTCCTACTATCTCCGGGCTTTACCTTGTAGCTAAAACCACTGAGCTCAGTAATTGTTGTAAGCGATGGTGCTGGAAGTTAACACACTATTATGTACAATAATATTAACAATGGGTTATTTGACAAAGCACTTACAAGAAAATTGTCAGCACATTGATGTAGACTGAATCGGGAAAGAAACAGGTAGCTCCTTTGAATTAGCTGCAAGCGATGTTGGCCTCCTGTGAGTCAATGCAGACAACAAGTCAGAGAGATAACAAGGTTAACTTCGGTTTACAACGTAAAAGGCAAAATAAATTTAATTTAATTCTTCTCCTTTGGAGACAGAGATGTTTGGATTTCCCATAGCTTCAAGAAGTTTGCAAATAACTGTACAACCTGCCTACATTATAATTGTTCGACAGCATCAGAAACATTTACAAAACAACTTTTCATATTCACTACCACTTCAATTGGCAGATGTTCTTATGATTTTATAAGCTAGTCCATAAGCACAGCTAATAATAAATAAATTATGTTGGACCATATGACATTGAGACATCTTAATGTACAGTAATGAATCTGGCTCAGTAATATCACATGAGCGGCAACGATCACTGTTTGGTTCATTAAGTTTCAGGAAGGAGAGATCCCATCCAGAGTGAGAGACAGCAGAGTCGGTATGTATTCCGGGGAATTTGGAGGCAACATGGGGATTCAGTGCAGAGCTTCCTTTTTTATTTTGTAAGCTGTTTTTTAAACAAGAAAAATTGAAGCCCCGAATCAGGGGCCCAGCACAAAGGAGTGGCATCACAGGTAAATCATAAATTCATTGTTTGGGGAAAGCGACCAATTTGACAATCTATTATAGGTTACTTTCAGATGGAAGGTAAATAAGGGAAATGTTTACAAGCTACAAATAAAAGACCAGTACGATTTTTTTAAAAAAAATCAAATTAAGACCTAAGTAATTAAAGGGAGATGTTAGACCAGGCCATGTGCTGTACCTGCATGTGCTGGGACCCCATTATGGTTCAGAGTGACCACATCTGTAACAAGTGTTGGTTGCTTGAGAAACTCTGGCTCAGAGCTGAGGAGCTGGAGTCTGAGATTCAAATACTGCGACACATCAGGGAGGGGGAGAGTTACCTGGGATAACAAGGTGTAGAGCTGGATGAACACAGCAGGCCAAGCAGCATCAGAGGAGCAGGAAGGCTGATGTTTCGGGCCTAGACCCTTCTTCAGAAATGGATGCTGTGTTTCAGGACACAGTCACACCCCTTAGATTAACCACCTCGAATTGGGTCAGTGGTCAGGGACAGGAGGGTGTGATTACATGTGAGGCAGGTAGAGGGATCCAGGAGGTGGTGTTAAAGGAGCATCAGCCCTCGAGCCTGTCTAACAGGTTTGAGATTCTTGCTCCCTGTGTGGATGATAATGGTGACTATAAGGAGGACGAGCAAATTGACTATAGCACTGTGGTACAGGGAGCCATTCAAATGGGAGGAGGGGAAGAAAAATGTAGTTGTAATCAGGGATAGTATAGTCAGAGGAATAGACACTGTTCTCTGAGGCCAGGATGGAGAGTCCCGAAGGCCGTGTTACCTGCCTGGTGCCCGGATTCAGGATCTCTCACCTGGGCTGCAGAGAAACTTGGAGTGGGAGAGGAAAGATGCAGTTGTTGTGGTCCATGTAGGTACCAACGATGCAGGTAGAAAGAGGAAAGAGGTTCTGCTGATGGAAAATGAGCAGCTAGGGGCTAAATTGAAAGGCAGAACCAAAAAGATAATAATCTTTGGATTTCTACCTGAGCCATGAGCAAAGTGGAACACAGTCAACAAGATTAAAGAGGTAAATGCGTGGCACAAAGATTGGTGTAGGAGAAACAAATTTGGATACATGGCGCCTACGATATGGAACAAGTTAGTATGGCCAATCCACCTAGCCTGCATATCTTTGGGGTATGGGAGGAAACCCACACACACACAGGGAGAATGCGCAAATACCACACAGACAGTCACCCAAGGGTGGGGTCAAACCCAGGTCCCTGGCGCTGTGAGGCAGCAGTGCTAACCACTGAGCCACCGTGCTGTCTGTGTTTAAAAAATAACCAATGAATAGAGTTTCAGGGCTTATTAAAGGACCTCTGCTATTTCCTTAAGGAAGGTTCAAACACATAAATGCTGATTCTTGACTCCAGAGCTGCTTCCATGAGATTAATCGTAGTGGGAGTAAGGCAGACACTGTTTAATTGCATTGTAGGAGCAGTGTGTTATTTGGCGGATCATCTCGGTGAAGCAATATCGTTAATTTGGTGGTTGTTATTGAAAATTCTCAGGAGAAAAAGTTCTAGGAGTTGATCATGGAGAAAGGGGAGGTGAAGCGGGAGGGGGAGGGGAGAAATGGGGGTGGGAGCGGGGTCAGGTGTTGACTGCAACCATGTTCCATCTAACACAAACTTCAGTTGCATTCTCTCCCTTCCTGCCTAACAATGCCGGAAAAGCACTTTTCAGATCCAGCAGGGTTTTCCTGAAGCTAATGTGACATTTTATGTGGTTGGATCGTTAGTGTGCTCAAAGGGATGTGATCAAGGAAGTGATCACTTCATTCCCATCAAATATATGTGTAACAATAGACATCAACCTGAGAGGTTGATGGGCAAAGATGTGGTCTTTCTTTTGACTGCACCTGATAAATGGCAAGACTGTGCTACGGTTTGTTCTGCATCCTCCAGATAGAGGCAGACAATAGAACTGTCACCAGAATCCCACCTCATCCCCATCAAAGTACATTCACAACTGGTTCTGACCCAATGATATTGGTTGGGCTCAAAGGATCTCAGCTGAGTCTCACTTGCCCTGATCGGGTGAAGAGAGATAAAATAGTGGCTACCCTCTTCCCATCCCATGCCTGACTGTAACAAGCTTTTGTTAAAAGGATTTGTTTTCCAATTCACTGACTTTTAAACTGTTTAGATGCTGTGACTGTAAAGATCACAAACAGACAGGTTTCCCTTGAGTTTTCTTTAAAAATAAGGATAGTATTTATTGCACTTAAACACAATCAGATAAAAATCAAAGAAAATGATCCAACTTTCACACATATAAACATGCAAAGGTCACTCAAACACACTCACTCACACTCACTCACTCACTCACACACACACTCACATGCACACATCCACTTGCGCACACACTCATTCGCGCACACACATACACACACTCCCACATACATACACGCAGGCACTTACACACACTCTTATTCCCACACACAGAGATTCACTCACACACACACACTCACATACACACACACACACACACACACATACACACATAAACACTCAGATATACACTCACACACACACTCAGATATACACACACACACACTCAGATATACGCACACACTCATGCACGCACACACTCAGATATACACACACACACACGCACTCACATACGCATACACACACACATGCATGCACACACTCACATACGCGCACACACACACACTCACATACACGCACACACACTCACATACACGCACACACACACTCACATACACACATACTCACATACACGTACACACTCACTTCCACACAAACACACTCACTCCCACATACACACTCACATACATACACACAGACACTCACACACAAACACACTCCCACACACACACATTCACTCACACACAAACACACTCACTCCCATACACACAGACACTCACACACATGCTTACTCCCACACACACACACTCAAATACACACATACACACTCACATGCACACATCCACTTGCACACACACTCATTCGCGCACACACATACACACACTCTCATATACATACACACATGCACATACGCACACACACTCATAAACACACTCACATGCAAACACACTCACTCTAACATACACACACACAGGTACTCACACACAAACACTCTTACTCCCACACACACACATTCACTCACATACACACATGCACACTCACACACACGCACACGCACATACATGCACACGCACACTCACATACACGTACGCACACTCACATACATGCACGCACACTCACATACACATACACTCACATACACACATTCTCACATACACGCACACACACACTCACTCCCACACACACACACACTCACATACATACACACACACGCTTACTCCCACACACACACTTACTCCCACACACACACACTCAAATACACA